CCCCCCCCCCCCCCCCCCCCCCCCCCCGACACCGCCAGTGGCAGGGGCAATGCGTAGGGGGTGCACAGGGGTGCATGTGCACCCCTGAGAGCGCAGGTGCACCACGTCAGGTCATGCTCCCTGTTTAGCCAGCAGGCAGGGGGGCAGGCAGGTGCACCAGTGCCGCCTCTGCGAGCGCTGCCCGAGGAGTGGAGCTGCCAGTGGGCCGCAGGACTTCTGGAAGCGGCGGGGCTGCTTTCGTGGTGAGTGAGATCGACCGCGGGGAACCCCCTCTCAGTCACTGCCAGCAGGATTGGCCACCGGGGGACCGCCCCCCCCGTCGCTGACTGGCGTCAGGGGGGCATGTGCCCCCTGACTCAAAAGGCACCAGACACCTATGGGCAATGGCATCCACGGGCAGTCCCCGATCGCCATTGACCGGTGCTGACGCTGCCAGCGGCATCTGCAGGTGGTTCCTGACTGCTGGTCGGCGCTTGCCACCCCCCGCTCCGCTGACAGCGCTGCGACCACCTGCGGGAGCTCCCCGCTTGCCACCACCATGCTCCCACCACCGTCTGCGGGAGCTCACCGTGCCCCTCAACCTCCGGGGGCATGTGACATTCATGCCCAGAAGCATGGGAAATTCCCATGGTACAACACAGACAGAAGTACACCTGGATCAACAGTGGCGGTCCAACCTCTTTTTGAACACCTCCAGTGATGCTCTTATGCTGAGATGCTTTGACTACTTTCCTAACCAATTGTGGGAAAACTTACCTGACCACAGGGGAAACTGTGGGAAGGCATGATTTTGTCTGTCTTCATTGAAAAATGGGCAGATATCAGACTGAGGTAAAACAGGCCCCAGGCTCTAAGCTACACATTAAGCTAGTAAGATACCCTGTCTTAAAGCTCCTGCAAGCCCACCTCAGTTTTTTCTGTGTAGTCAGAGTGGGGGGAGGGGAGGGTTGAGGCTAAAATCTAGATAATAGTCTGGGATGATTTTGCGCCACAGACACCTCTAACACCTGGTATTATCCATCAGACTCAGATCTGTCCATCAGACTCAGATCTGTCCTGATGCCTGTAAATCCAGTTATTTTGTTCATGTCTAGGCAAGTGATGAGCTGATGAACTCTTTTTCCTTTGCCTCCCTGTTGTTGCACTATATTCTAACTCCTGCACTCTCACTAATTCTTTCAACCCTGCTGCTCCTTGCTCCTCCTCTCCCTGTAGCCAAAAACAATTGAAAACTACAATTCAAGTGGGTACCATATTCATTTACTTCTCAGTTACCTTCCCTTCCCATCTCCTCCCCTTATCTGTTTCCCATCTTAGATTAAGAGCCCTGCAGGGCATGGTTGTGATGCCCAGATTAATGGGGATTTTAATCCCAAAGGAAGCCTTCTGGTACTCCATGATATATATGTTTATTACCAAGAATAACAGGTACCTCACAGTGTCTAGCACCTCCTGCCCCAGCTGAACCTGCAAGCATATATTTGAGGGGCACAGATACTTTCCTGCCTCAGAACTGTAGCCTGAGCCAATGAATTCTTGTTCTCCTTGAAGACTGGAGCTATGTCCTCCAACTAAGATACATGCTGGTGTTCACTGGCTCAGGCCAGTTGGAGAAATCAAAGCAACTAATTCCTGAAACTTTGCATTTTCTCTTTGCACTGAGGCCTGGTACTGTGTCTGTGAAGTCCTGGCATCAAGCCCTTCACCCGCCTTTAAATTCTCTATCAAGTCTGCAGTAGTTTAGCCTGGCTACCATGTGATACTTCTCCTTCCTCTAGTTAGCACCTTGCTGCTGAGGATAATGCATCTTTCAGACACCAGATTAAGTCTCACTGGTTGCATCTACGCGAGATGCTACTGTGCAGTCATTACTGCGCAGTCATTTAGTACTTGTATAAACAAGTACTATAAACAAGTACTAAATGACTGTGCAGTAACTTGAGTTGCTGCTCAGTGCCAATGAACACCTTTTTCGTGATGCTACTGCCTGGTAGCCTAATACTACTGTGTGGTAGTGTTGTATCACGGTTGTTGCCAGGTGATGCTACTGCATAGTAGTATAGGGGTACCGCGCAGTCAGCATCTCATGTAGACGTGGTCACTGTCTCCCACAAGGTAGATCAGCCTGTTTCTCATTGTACAGATGGGGAAAACAAGGAAGGGGATGGAAGGAACTTTCCCAATGTCATACAATATCTGTGCCAGAGTCAGGATTAGACCCCAAGAATCCTGCCTGCTGAGCCATCCCTTGGTTTGTTAGGTAACAGGTCATCTATGTGCCCATAAGTGCAGGCTTCCAGAGGAGATTAAAACCTTCAAGAGCCAGACAAATCAAAGACACGGTTGGTTTTATTCCACAACACAATGTGTTGTATGTAGTAAAATGGACCACTAGATGGTGCTTTCTGGATAGGGATCTGTAACAAGGAGCAGATCCTTTCCTACAGTGTTTGCTCTGAGTTGCTCCCTGTCTTTTTTCCTTGGCTTCATGCCCTAATCAGTCTCACTGTTTGGTTCTGTCCAGTTGGAGTGGAAGCTTTGATGCAGAGGGACCTGGAAAGATGCTTATGGGCAATGAATGCTCCTCCCATTCTGTGCCCCGGGGGAAGAAAATGTCAAGGCCAGGATGAGCTGGGGGGTACAGCACTGCATTTCCTAGTGCTGCAGGATAGGAGTGCTTGACAAGGGCCACACTGGCCTCTTGCCAGTCTTGAAGGCAGAATGGCAGTGCCAGGTTTGCGCACACATGCACACACACTCATGCATACACAAGAACAGTATGCAGAAGCTGACCCCAGGGCTTGTATCTCCCAGGGTGGATTTGTGGAAATTGCCTGCTGCTGTCACAAAAGCTCCAGCTGATCAGCTTTTTCCTTTGGGTTATTTTTAGTCATCTTGGTTTGCACAGTGGGAGCTTTTGCTGTAGAGACTGAATCACTTTCACAATTGGTTCATGAGCCTGAGGAGGGAAAAGGCAAGACGCGAGGGCACTATACAGTGCTTCTTGAACTACAGGTACCCATGCTGTGGCTAACAAGCCCTGCTGGTGGCACACAGCACAATGGGAGATAATGACCTAAAGAGAAGAGGCCGACTCATTTCAGTTCCTCTAAACTCTGCCCAGCCCCAATGGATATTTCTGAAGGACATATGGTACATTAAGAAATATATTTATGGAGGCCAGATATGAGCCTTACATCCTGCCTCAAAGGCCAGGCTGGTGGGGAATGAATGGGGTGGGGCACCCCTAGTAGATGTCATAAGGCTTGGGAATATTTCACCAAATATCTCAATCACCTTCCAGGCTCTCCTCACCTGTCACAAGATGCTTCATTTCATGAAGTTGTTGGGTCAGGTAAAGTCATGCAATTGAATGTAGATGGAAACTGGGAATATGCATAGGGGTGAGCCTCTGAAAATATCCCTTGAAAATATGCAGCTGTGCACTTCATATCCAGGGACTGCCCATACAGACTGGCTACTGCACACAGCTGTTCCCTGATTTGTAGGACACAGGGGTTTCATCATGTGCTAATGCAGCCCCACATACATCTGGGGATGGATCTGAACTGCTAAGTTATTCAGCTCATCCTCCCATCCAGTCCTGCTACCTCTTTAGCCACTCTGGTCTGAAATGTTCTGTGATGGGATTTTGAGCCCTTTCTTCAAGAGACTAGTTTGAAGTTAGAGATGCTGTTATTAAGAAGCTCTTCCTGATATGAAGCAAAGCAAACAGTCCAGAAACAACAGCTCAGATTTCCACACCTGAATGCTTGCAGCTGTGCCACTCTCCAACTTGCACATGCAGGTCCTGTGAATGTGCTGAGAGTATTTGCTGTCACAGACAGGTAACTTCCCTAGCTACCTGAGCAGCCCAGGTGCCACATCTGACTGTACTCATAGCTGCAGCCATCACTGGTGAAACACGTGGAGCTAGTTTGGGAAATCTGAGCTCTCCTTTCAATAAATACAATCAGAAAGGCATTGGGGGCACTTCTGCTTTTTTTGTTCCAGGTATGTACAGCACCTAGCACACTGGGCTCCTGGTCTGTAACTGAGACCCCCAAGCACTGCCATGGGACAAAGAAATAATACTAATTCAATCATTAATAAGTAACCTGAATACACAAGAATGTGTGAACCCTGAGGAACCTTTGATGCTTTATTCCTTGCAGGGCTGTAGGAGGCCAGCCCCCTGCTGGACATTTTTTAGATAGTCTGGATTGATGGATTTGTTTATTAACTCTCAAACAGAAAATCATCCGTCTCAGCATCTGCCGTTGCAAAAGACACTGCTGCACCAGGCAGAGTTTGGACTTGTGGGGAGTCCTGCGTGGGTGATCAGGCAGGAGGGATGGTCTTTGTTCAGCCCCTTGCATGTCAGCGTAACGTGTTAAAGTGGGAGTGCTGACATGGGCAGAACCAGGCTGGGTTTTAGCCTACGCAAATGCCCTTCTTGCCTAAAATCCATCGCTGATTCCACTGCCCTGGCCCTGCGCTGCCCATCCCAACCCAGAGCAAGTAATGAATTCAGCCTGCTTGCTCTGGTAGTGATGCTGTTTCCATGAGCCCATGTGATGCTCCGATAGTGCAGCTGCTGCTGCTCTCTCCTTCCCCTGTTCTTCCAATCTCAGGCTGTCATGGCGACTCCCAACAATGTTACTCCCACCAACTGCAGCTGGTGGCCCATTTCAGCTGTCGATAATGATGCAGGGAAATCCAAAGAGGCTGAGGAAAACCAGGACCTGACAGACCCTGCTCTCAGATCCAAGGACAGACTCGTTTTGTATCACTGGACGCAATCTTTCAGCTCACAAAAGGTAAATGCTCTGCTGGATTCCCAGGAAAGAATCACCTCCAGTATCCAGGGCATACGCCTGCCTCGGGAGAATGGCTTGCTTATAGAAGAGGAGACTGGCTGTTTCACAGGGATGGAAAGGGGAGCTGCTGGCAAGGAGAATGTGTAAATAGCGGGGTATTTTGTGCCTGCATTTCTGCAATTTAACTGGCTTGCTCGGGGTGGAAGGGGGGAGTTCACGGTAATTTTGTCTTTGGGTTAGGATCAGATTTGATTCTGGGAGATGTTTCTGATTTATCATTCATTTGAAGCCTGAATCTCACATGAATCTGAGTGGAAGAAGTGTGGACAAAGAGAAACATAACTGAAATACTGGCTATCTAGGACTACCCTGGTACTGGAGGCAGGGGAGGGAGCCATATCTACAATGGTTACCTTGAGTTCCTATATATCCTAGTACCAAACTCTTCCCAGGGAGGTGAATATAGGGCTCTGCTCTGTGCCAGGAAATGCATTTGCTCTGGACACTGCAGCAATGCTATTGAAATCCTGTTCCCCAGACTCTCGGTCTGCTCGGGGCTGTCACGCTTGCATGTCAGGGATAAATAACAATCAATCACCTTTTCCAGTTGATAGCCAATGTTCCATGCTGCATCTTGGGAGAGCAGGGGCTGTGCAACAAACCTGCCAGAAGCAGCCCCAGCCCTGCACTTTACATTCATTATATATGGGAGTTGAATTATTCATAGCAGAGAAGGTGAATATAAAGTTTGCAAGATGCCAGGGCCCTTGGATTGCTCTCCCTTGCAGCCCAAGCCCAGTCAGGGAAGCAGGTGGGGGGGAGGGACACTGAGAAACCCCAGGACACACAATGCAGCAGGATGGCTGCACATGTGCTGTCTGTTCTTCCCACTCTCCCTCCTGAGACAGGTGGCTGAAGGGCTTATTCTGCATTTGCACTACTGAGATCGTGAGGCTGATTTGGCTGCTTTTCCTGGCTTTTCCTCCTTCCTTCCCTGGCTTGCCATACCCCTTTGGTGGAGGTGGCTATGTACGCCCTTATCTTTTGTTTTACTCCTTTGTCTCCCAGTGTTGGGAAGGAAACGGTTAACCCTCCACTCACACAGGATTTTCTACAACCAGTCCTGAGCTAGCACCACCTCTGCCAGAACCCAGGGGAGTCCATGGGCAATGCATTGCACATTTAAAGTCACAGCACAAAGAGTAGCACTTGGGAGCTGAAACCCAAGTCAATCTTTTTAAATCATCTGTGAGGAAATAGTAATGCTTCTACAATGTATTCACTGCAACTGGGGCTCAACCAACCAATGTACTGCATATGACAGAGCACAATGCTGTATGTGCAAGTGCATTGAAGCCAGCCTGTGGGACTAGGCACATCCCTGCTGTGGACTGAAATACCCTTCAGAGCTTTTGTCAAACAGGAAATCTGCTTCCTAACAGCCATGAAGAATCCTCTAGGAGCTCCCTGGACACTCAGATGGACCCATCAACTTCCCACAGAGGCTTCTGGATATTGACTTTTAGGTGGGCTTTGGGGGTCAGGTTGTGAGAGGTGGGGAGCACCTGCTGGGCCCCTGCCAGGCTATGTCCCACCCTATGGAGAAACAGAAGGGCTTTTATGTTGAAGAGGTGTCTTGTTTAGAGCAAAGTGTCTGGCACAAATAGACATCACCAAGTGTTGGAGCGTGCAGATGGCTGAGCACAGGAACACCTATAGGGACCCACCAGCAGAGCACTACACAGCAGCCTTGCCAGCAGGCCAAGGAGAGAACAAAGGGGGTTGCACAGGGGCTGGGCCCAGGCTGACTGTTCAGCACCGTGGCCAGAGCACGAGGGGCACCAGTCTCCTGTTGAAATTGAAATTGGGGGTTTTGTGCCTGGTGTCACCCACCTGTGTTAGTCACACGTGGGGTATGTTGGGCCCAAGGATTTTGAACAAGGCCTCGGGTGCCCTGTCATTAACAGACACTGCCAGTCACTGAGACTCAATGCCTAGAAAGGAATTCAGGCCTTGAAGTTATTAGTAAAGCTCCCAGTGACACCAGTGGTGCCAGGATTTCACTCCAGGCCTCTAGGATGAAAGGTGCCATCAGTGGCTTTTATTCTCTGGGCATATAAATACTAGATTGCTAGTTAAGAAAATAAAACTTAGCTGAGAAAAGAAGCTGGTTTTGCAGGCAGAATTTCTACACCCAAAGACATGTCTCAGAAGCTGACTTCAGTCTTTAGGGGACTGATCTTTGGCAAGAGCCTCTCACAGCCAGCTTTCCACTTCAAATCCACCGGGACCCAGAGTTGTTCCCTTCTGACAGACCATTGTCTGTGGCTGCGGGGGGCAGGACACAGAGCGATGGTCTTCAGTTGCAGCAAGGGGAAGTTAGATTGGCTATTAGGAAGAATTTTCTCACTCTGAGGCTGCTTAAGCATTGGAGCAGGATATAGCGATTGTGGGATCTCCATGCTTGGAAGATTTTAAGAGCAGGTTAGATGGGTTTAGTTAAGTATGAACCTACCATGATCAAGGGTCGAGACTTTATGACTTCCTGAAGTCCTACTATTCTATGATTCAGTGGAAGGTCTTGGTGTTTTGTATACAGAGAGTTGGTCCTGGAAGATCCCGGCAGATCACATTTCCATCTTTGAGAAGCTGCCAGAGCAATTGGTGTTAACGGCTGCCTTGTTAGCAATCTTGTTTAAGAGCCTGATAACAGAATAAGCTCTCTGGAATGGACTCAGCCCAGAGGCAGCTGCTGGGCCAGGGTTGAACTCAAGTGGCTGAGGGTGCCGTGTGGGGGCACCATGTGCAGTGATTAGTGAGCCAGACCAGCAATGTCCTGTTTCTTGGCATTCATGAGATACTGGTTATGCAAGTAGATGTGTGAAGGTTTATTCAGGGATTTGAACAGGGTGGAATAGGATCACACATAACCACCTACTAGGTAGATGGGGATTTGGTCCTGAGTGTCTAAGGAGTGCTGTCAGGTAGTCCTCTGGAGCAAAGTGCTGTGCCTGACATGCAATGAGCAAGGTTGTCACCATGACCTGCTGTAACTGCTGTCAGCACATGGTGACACCTGATACTGGCTCTGAGTCTGCTCCAGAACCAGCCCTTGTCTTCTTCATGGCTGCATGATGGGCTGATCTCCCTCCATTCCGGGATGGGGCATTCCAGGATTGCC